CTCCAGGCATTAGCAGTAGATGTGACTCGTGTCCATTAGGTTACGCCTACAGGCATTAGCAGTAGATGTGACTCGTGTCCATTAGGTTACGCCTACAGGCATTAGCAGTAGATGTGACTCGTGTCCATTAGGCTACGCCTACAGGCATTAGCTGTGGCTATCAAGTGTATTCATTAGGCTGGGGAAGCTGGGAGGGAGCGTGGACTGACTGCAGGTCCACTGGTTTAGGAGGAGAGTAACAACAATGAGCAGCGGCAGTTGGGCAACAGTTCCAGCACAGTCTGATGTATGGTGGCCCACGACTGTGGCCCATCGCCAGGGGCCCCCGCTACAGACGGAGGAAACACGGCCAGCTGCTGCCACTTAACAAAGTGCCCCCAGCCAGCCCCCGCTTCTCCTCCTCCTCGCCGTCTCTTTGTTACCGCCGCCTTTCCCAGCGCTTGGACACGTAAAAACACGCACGTCTGTGGCATGTGGTGCGCGGGGTTGCCATGGCGATCCCCACGCTCAGAGGAGGGGCGAGCATCTGCCACCGCTGCCTGCAGTGCGGCTCCGTATGGGGGGGGGGGGGGAACAGGGCGGACATTCATTCTCGAGCCTGCAGTCGCGGCTTTGGCTCTTTGACCTTCTGCATCCAGGTGAACGGGATTATGGGGAATGGCAGAAGCTGCCAGAATCGGTTAGAAGGGGCTCTCCTCACGAGGCCAGCAGACTGAAGCATTTAAGGGGAACTGCCAATGTTGAGGCTTTGTCGCCTCTGATCATAAACCTTTTGGCCTTTATTAGATGCCCTTGCTGGGTCGAGGGAGGGTGGGGCGGATCATTGTCTTTGATGGTGGTGGGGGGTAAGTACCCCTTTCATCTAGGGGAGTTCCCCAGGGCCCTTAGCTAGGGGGCAGATGGGGAATGGCCAGGAACAGCCGGCGCCCATGTGAAACCTCCACCATCGGCACAGCATTTTCGTCCGTCATGCCAAATGAGAATGAGGCCAAACCAGGACAACGCGGATTGTGTTTCTGCTACCTGGACTGGGCAGATACCGCGGTGCTGATGTACGCAATCATCTGCGTAAACTGTTTTGGTTTCTACAGAGCTAATCTCACGGCAAAGGGAGAGAGACACCAGCAAACAACTCTAATAAGAGACAAAGCAGACACCACAGCTATTCCAGAGTTTGCTAAATTAGATTATCTAAATTGAAAGTAGCCCATCTAAGCCACTCTCGTCTTACCTCAACTGAAATTTATTCACATATTACGCAGCAATGCCTGTTATAACGGTGCTCAAAACTGCAGACTGCTAACCCCGATCACTTTTGTGTGGATTGATGAGTGATAAACATGCCCATGTAACACCATTCTTTTACAAGTCGCTGACTGATTATGTGCCGTGTTGCCCTACAATTGCAAAAGACTATGCTGGCCCTCAACAGGGCAAAAACCTTCAGTGCCGTCACAGAAAAGACGTTGACGGAAGCGCTAATCTTTGAGGTGTGTCATGGTAGAGCTCTGAAGCCAAAGGGCGAGCAGAACCTCTGCCAGCCTTTCCCAAGTCCGTGAACAAAACCCACTGCCTCTTATATGGCTTCAGATCATATGGTCCAGCCTGATCACACCTGCCGGAACTCCAACCCATTTTATAGACACATACTTGGAATTCCATGCTGCAAGAAGTGCATTTGTAGCATAAATAAGGTCACATTAAACCACAGCTTGTAGCAAGAAAGTATTTGAAGTCTGAAGGCTGCACCAGAGTTTAAAAAGCTATGGGAGGTATAAAACTGAATTGCATGATGCTTGCATTACCGGTTTAAACAGGAAACGCTTGTACAAGCATGCTGGGTTTCTGCGTATCCTAAATGTTGCCAGTGTAAGTTGGGTGTGTGCTAGCAGAAGAAAGATAACTTATAATCAGATGCCTGGACGAGATCAATATCCCCCCCAATGCAGTCAAAAAAAGTCACATGGAAGCTCTTTTTGAGGCCTCTGTCGAGGTCCCCGTAAGGGACGTATGAGCAGAGTTACGATAGCAGTATATGCTGCTAACAAACTAACTGCTAACTAGCTAAACGCTTTTTGCTCTTACACTGTCCAAGAAACCGAAAAGGCTTTTCAACCACATGCCAGCTACTGATGGATCAGCAGTGAGAATGACCCCTCCCCCCCCGGGCCAGTTTCTCTACCGCTTTCCCTGTCCACCTTCATTGGGATTGGCTCACAGATTAGACGGACCGACCACAAGAATCATCTCCTACCATAATCACTTTCCTTCCAGTCACTTCAAACATCCTCCTTGTGGATTAAGTGGATTTCTCTCCCCTTGCAACAAGACCCATAAATATACTAAAAAAAAGTTTGGCAGCGACTTCTAACACTCTGCTGACTACAGAGACAGTATTTCAGTCGGTCTCAAAAGACTTTTCTTCAGCTGATGGATTCTGGTGAAATCAAATATCAATTAAATCAACAAACGACCAGATTAGCAAAGTGGTCTTAAAGTGATTTTAAACCCCAGGCCAGAGCGGTCAGTGCTGCCCTGGCCTGGAACGGGCACTTAGTCACAGCTCACCTTCTCCGCAGCCAGCTCCTTTCCGGCGGCGTGGGTCCTCTCCAGGTCGAGGTGGACGCGGTCAGCCTCGGCGCGCAGGCGACTCAGCACGGCCTCCATGTCGCGGGCGGCTCTCTTCCGCTCCTCCTCTCGCTGCAGGCCCAGCTCCAGCAGCTGCTGCTTCCTCTGTGCATGAGCCTGCCGCAGCTCCTCACGCAGGGTCTGCACCTGAGTCTCCAGGGCCATCAGGTTCTGTAGTGGCGATGTACCGCCAGCAGGGGGAGCAGCGGTTAGTGAGACAGACAAGTAACCAGACCCACACTAGAGGGTATTCAGCAGACATTTGATTCTCGTTTTTTATAGCTTTTTCACAAACATACCACAAAAATAAAACAACAAAAGCAGCAGCAATAAAACAAAAAGATCCCTGAGATTTCTTCAAATCTGGACCTTGAATCCAAATCCAGGCCTTGTTTTCAAATCTCCCATGTAGTTGGTTTAATAATGACTGATTCTGATTGGTCAGAGGCTTCATACCCAGCTCACAGGTAAAGGAAGGATGGAAAATCAGCAGGGCTCGGACCTTGAGGGCCGTGATTTGAATAGCCCCCGTTCTACATAAATTTCTGACATCGCGGCCCAGATGAGGGTTCATCACCTCCAGCTGAACCTCTCACAGATGGGGCTCCTCGTCTTCTCTGCCAATCCTGCCATTCACCATGACATCACTGCATAGCTTGGGCCCTTGACGTAATCTCCTTCAAGGTCACCCAGGAACAGGGGGATAATGATAGATGACCTTCAGTCCTTTGCTGGACACACTGCGGCTTTCTCCTGATCTTGCAGATTCACTCTGCATAACAGTAGAAAACTCTGACCTTATTTCTCAGAACATGCAGCTCTGCTGCTTGTCCTACGTCATGTCTAGTCATGAGGTGACTGGCCTACAGCAGCATTTAGATGATTCAAAATGTAGCAGCACGCCTAGCATTTAGTCAGCCTCGTCTCTGTTCCCTATAGGAGCAAGTCTGAGTACTCGATGCTGACCTTCAAAGCTGTTAGGCTGAAACACGTTTCCACAAACTCAAGAGCTACGCTAAATCCTGCCACGACTTCTCAGCCACCTGGTGATCTCTCTACGCTCAATCCTGCCACGACTTCTCAGCCACCTGATGATCTCTCTACGCTCAATTCTGCCATGACTTCTCAGCCACCTGGTGATCTCTCTACGCTCAATCCTGCCACGACTTCTCAGCCACCTGGTGATCTCTCCACCATATGAAAATTAGTCCCACTCTAGATGTGTCCTTCCTAGATTGTGGCACTGGAATTCTTATCAAGCTTCAGGAACCGCCTCAAGACCCATCTTTTCCAGGAACATGCAGGAAAAGCTGAAATACGGGTTCTCATACTGTTGTGTAATGTAACGTACAGCTCCATTTCCAGTACGAACTCTCACTGGCTACTGGTGACTCACTGGAAGCTCGGTCTAGCGGCACATAACCCAGTTGGCTCCTTGACAGCTGTAATGCTCAAGATGAATTATCAAGTTTTGTTTGAATGTCCTCTTTGGACAAAAGTGCCAGGTAGATAAATGCAGTTAATCAGCTAATATAGCACACTAACGATCAGTCCTCAGGGCCACCATGTCTGCCTGACAGACAGACAGACAGACAGACATCGCTACTGCTGCACAGCACACAGAGAAACACTGATCACCAAAGTAAACGGCTAATCGCAAAGCATCCAGTCAGCTGCAGAAGATACACTTGGGTCTCATATACAACTCAATTAAATTATTGAGGCTGGTGTCAAGATCCAGCGTAAGAGAAACATATAACTCTGGTTCATGTGTTGCTTTCCTATCCTGACGAGCTGCACCTGAGATCCGTGGTTCTCTTTTTAAAGCGGGACTTGGGGGGCAGACCACCGTGGTTCTCTTTTTAAAGCGGGACTTGGGGGGCAGACCACCGGTCATGGGCATCGGCCTCAGGAGCCCCGTATCTGTCCAGTCCTCCTCCTCCCCATAGTGGCCGAGGAACCACCATGCCCTCGAAGAGCCCACCGGCATCGACTGTCACGCTTCAAGCGGCGCCGCGCACGGTCAGGAATTCACGTGACCCGTGGGGTGCGGCCACACGTCCCCGCTTCTAAGACACCGGCCCGGGTTTATTCCCCAATGATGCGTGGCACCTGGTCCGTGCCGCCGTGGAGATCCAAAGCCCCAACTGTTCTTTATTGAGCAGCTAGAAAAAGGCAGAGGGACCAGTAGGCATCTCCCTGGTGGTCTGCTCCTACTGGCCATTGCTTCATCCTGTTTGTTCCTTTTCCTCCTCATTGTTAATGTGCCCTTTGATGGGACAGGACAGCTTCAGGTGCTCGGGGAGGCGACACACTGCTGGCTTGAGCGAGAAAAAGATGGAAGGTAGACGCGCTCTGCCACTGGTGTCTGCTGTTTTGTCATGACAGTTCGTTAAAGAGTGAAAATATATATATATATCTGGAAAGAACCATAATCTCCGGCAGCAGCCTTGCAGAGTCTTTCATTCTCTTAATTACTGGCTTTGGAGAAGCAATCTCTCGCTGTCGTCTCATCGCAAACCATAACGGGAGAAGAGCCCGTCAGTGCCGTGTCCTCTAACAATGCAGGCCCCCCCGCCCTGGCTATTTTAGGCCCAAATGACGCCCGTCACAGCGTACGGAATAACATGTTTTTGGAGGGAAAATGAAGTGCCAGGGAAAGAGTAGGTGAGAGGCGCGCAGAATCTGCGATTCTGTAACGAATGTGGTATATGATGAGAGACGATCATTCTTAGCCACAGACTTCCAGTGGCTGAAGTACACAGGTCAGGAGCGCCGACATGAGATCGGGCTTATGGACAAAATGCCACTTGTTTGATCAGGCTATTAATAACTAGACTGACAAATAAGTTGCAATTCTATATACCAACAGACATCAGTAAAAACTGAAAACAGGACAATCGATGCATGACACAATTGAAACACAACATTTTTCTGTGGATCAAGTTCAAAAAAGCGTTATAAAATTCCACAATAACTAAGTGCAAAACATCCATCCATCTTTCAAGCGCTTATCCTGGGCTGGGTCATGGTGGTGGGGGTGGGGGGTAACCTGGAGCCTATCCAAGGCCACACAGAGCAGGGGCAGCCTTTGGACAGGATGCCGCCCCATCACAGAATACGAACACTATGGGCGACTTACAGACGCCAATTATCCTAACTGCATGCCTTCAGACTGCGGGAGGAACCGAAGTACCCAAAATAAATCCATGGTGCACAAGGAGAACAGCGGTGAGATGGGAACCCCCAAACCCCAAATGTGAGGAGATGGTGCCACCCACCAGGTCAAAAACTGAACCAGACAGACATGCTTGATTTGAGAGAGGAGCACTGCTTGGTTTCTTAAGACGCGTATTTGGCATGAGGTGGGTAACATTGCTCTGTGCTGTTTGATTGAAGCCCGTTCACAGGAACGGTGACTGGAACAGGAGACGATCTATCTGCACGCTTGTTTACGCCAAAAGCGTCACCTTGTCAGACGTGCGTCAAGCTGCCAGGTCTTTTACATCCGAATCCCGGCACGGCAGCCGCGATGCCGCTGGCAGAACATGAAACCGGCAGCTGAGCCAATGAGAGGAGGCTGAGGACTGGGCAAAAGCTGGAGTCCGATATAAAGAGATCGCGACAGACAGCCGCAGCAGAGCGGCCTGAGTGTGGACAGCTATGTTTCCGAGGGTGAAGCGTTCGGTCTTCGCCTCCCCCCGCCTGACAAACGCGAAACCCTCAATCTAATCTCCCATCTAAAAAGGAGACGGTGGAGAAATCGCGCGCCTCAGGGCCGACATCGTGGCGTCAGTACCACAGCTGGGCTCTATGGCACCCGCCCCCCGCAGACAAGTTCAGCAGCCATTGGCCAGCACTGAGAGGGAAGTGACAGGCCAACCAATCAGACTAAACCTGGAGCCAGGCGAAGAGTGGAAGCACCCAATGGGAGGCTTCTTCCATTCACAAGCAGGGCACCAATAAAATATTGACAACTGACGACAACGTGCTACAGAGAGACGGCTGAGCATGTTTTTGAAAGACGACAAAGCAGGAGTGGATGCAAAGTCGGTTCTGGCATTGCCAGCCCACCCCAGGCAAATGAAAGGACCCAGATTACACGGCAGCATCGTATGCACGACCCATTCGTTGTTTTTCTGCATCTTAAACCAGAACCTCTTTTTTTAAACACGCAATGACTCCCCACATCAAGGCGTGAGTCTGAATTCTGCCTGCAAGAGCAGACTCTTACTCATCTTCACCAAGACACTGAAGTGTCTCGTCGGAGCTGGGTGCTTCCCATGTGGGTCCGAGCCGGTTCTGGATGCTGTGCCTCAGACCAATACATTTAGCGGTATTGTTTTTTTTAGTACTTACTGTTGACAGGGTTTGAAAGACGCCTTGCATGCAACATCTTAATGCCTTTGAATATTCTCTGTTCACTTCAAAGGCCTATTGGCTTTGAATCCTCAAAAATATTGACGTTGCGAAAAGAAATTCCAGTAAAACGATTATTACCATTCCCGGAATTAAGTGCTTGTTTTCATACTTTTGGGCCGGAACGTCCTCTTTGAGAATGCTATGTTTTCTTATATGTAATATTTCAAAGGATGGAATTCAACTTAACAAGCCTCTCAACAGAATTAAAAGTAAATATTTCGCTTTCTGAAAACACAGCCTGTGAGTACTGATTATCTGACACCGTTTTTAAATAAGTGATCGTCAAATGCACTCATCATTTATTCGGCTGCTGCAAGAGATTTGAAGTATTTCACAACTTGCCTTTACCCAGTCACTTGGCAGACTCCAGGCAATTACTGTATACCTGAGGTCTTTCATTGCACATCTCCAGTATGTCAGCCTGTCTGTCTCACTCTCCTTCCCTTTCTCGAGTGTCAGGGTGCTACCCGAGGGGAGTCTGTTCTCTCTCATGGACTACAGATCCGTC